GCTCTTTTTAATTTCCTTTAGAAGTATTCTAAGCATAACTTGTACCATTGGCAACAAGCTATCAAAAAATAATCTTCATCCAAATTCTATTAATCTTAGTAATTCTCTCCTCTTTTAAAAGCATGAAAGTTTTTACTACACAATGGTAAAAACATGGTTGAACCCATGAAATAGATTATCAAACATTCATCAATTAATTAAAAAGAAAACTACAAATTCACATTAAAACTTAAGTTTGGATCAAACTAATAAAAATTACACACTCTTATTAAAAGCTTTCTCCCTAGCCTTAACTAGGGAGTTAGTTCCCCATAAAATAAAACTAAAACAGAAATTTAGAACTACAAAGATGGAGGAAGGAGAGAAAGCTCAAGAAGTTGTGGAGCTTGGTATGATTTTCCATCTGCAGCAACGCTCAATTTATAGGAATGGGAGCTGCTCTTTGTTGCATCAATTGTATTTTGCTATGAATAAACAAATTCTCACCACTTGCTGCCAGCCCACAATCAGATGGCCATACATTTGTTTATTATCTTCCAAGTGCCTTTGTCTATACAATTCCCTCTATAGTGTTGCAGACTCCTCTTCTTTATTGGCAACGTCCCATTTTCTAATGAACTCTAGCGTATTTTGGGACACTATAACTTTAGAATTGTTTGGTTCTGTCACAATAACCTTATAAGTTGTATTGCCATTTCCTACATTTGTTACAAGTTACAACCCTTTCAAATATTTTTATATTTATTGTTTTATAATCCTTATATAAAACAATAAAGGATGGGTAGTTCAAATCAGAAGATGACCTTTAGGCATTGATATTTAGATTTAATAATCTTTTTCATGTAGCCCTTGTTATAATGTAATGAGTAGATTGATATAATCTTATTGTGTGGCATAATAAATCAAACCAGGGTCAATTGCTCGGTTTGGATCAATATGACCTCTTTCCATTGCTAGAGGTGAAGCAAGTTGAAGATCACTATCTAAAATCAGGCTAAAATTATTATCTAAATAATTTGCAGTGGTTATAATGGCTAGCCTATAGCAGCATGACTCCATTTTGGGTGTGCTCTTAGCATAAGTGCAACCACCCCTGCAACATAAGGGTGTTAACTCACAATTGTACTTGCCAATTAGTAGTATCACAAGACAAGTACAAGGTCGTACCCACTAGGACTAAGAAGTTAAACTTAGTTACGTACTTAGATTACCCAATTCAAGAAAAACAGGAAGTTGAATCTAAAACATAATTTAATGTGAGAGTGATTGTGATTATGAAAACAAATTAAGCGAAACGAAAATGCAAACAAAAGCGAAGTAAACAAGTGTAACAAAAAATAGTCTTAAGGGTTGGAAAACAGATTTGGAGACTAGGGTATTTGATTCACAATAACAATCAAATTCTAGGTTATAAGGATTCAAGTGACAAGTCGAATTCATATTCAAAGATTGATTCTAGCTAAAGTATGATTAAGCCATGGTGTTTCGTCCTAACCTTGTATTCCTAATTCCCTAATTAAGTCCTTGTTGTCAAACCTAAATCAAGCATTATAAATCCATTAAGCATAGAAGAATGTCCTTGGTTTTAAACAACCAAGCATGTATCTAATCCTTGTTGACGAATGTCCATACATACTCTTCCTATTCATAGTTCAATTCGAATTAAGATATATGGTGTCTACTCTTAATTCCAACCAAGATAGCTAACATACAAGTTTTAATGGTGATTAATCATTCAAACAAGCATATTAACTTATAAGCATAATGAATAAGAACCAGAATAATCTTGAATCAAACTTAAAACTTGAAACTTATAAACCCAGAATATTCATGTTAGGTTACATCGAAACCCTAGATATGAATTCGAATGTAGCTACTCATAATGCCAAAATAACATAAGCAGAATTGACAAAACATAATGAATACAATAAGAGTAAAAAAATCATTTTTATGAAGTTCTTATGGTGTCCAATGCTTCTCCAAGAGCTTCTCCATGTCTAGAAGGATGTATGAAGGTTAATGAGGTGATTTGGGATGAGTTTGGGTGAGTGGTGATGGCTGAGAAAAGAAATTCGTGGGGAAATGACACAGAGGATTGCTAGGACAATTTTGGTGAGTTGGGGTTGTTTAGAGTTTTGGGTTGATTCCTAGAGTGTTTGGGGTTGTGGGAGTGTTTGAGGGTGATTTCTGAATGTATTTGATGAATGATAGGAGTGTGAAGGATGGATGAATTGTGGGAGTGTAAATCCCTAGATGTAGTTAATGAATGATGGGAGTGTGAATCCCTGGATGTGATTTTTCATTTTGGTGTGGAATGGAAGTGGTATTTATAGGGAGAAGGAAATGGGAAATCTAAATTGGATATTGCCTCTACCAACAAAATCAATTTCACCAACTTTACCTAACACACCAATGTTATTGAAAATCAGTTTCTTTTCTTATTTGGATGTTACACTTCATCTTCTCTGCTCACCAACAAATCCCACTAGCAAAAACAATAGCTCGTGCATAGCTTAGCATGACCAAGCAACAATTAGCTCATGCTTAGGTCAGAATGACCAACAATTTTGTGGGCTCATAACTTGGGTTTCCCTTGAACAAATGATGACTTTGAGCCCTCCAACTTGAAGTTCAGAATGTCATCTTTCCAACCACATATCATTTGGGCCAATCCAAGGTCAGATGAAGATGTTAGGTCCAAAACAAGTTGCTAACTCAGTCTCCAGTTTTGCAAGTTTTTGCACTATTTTACATCTTTTTCTATCCAAAGCCACCAATACTACCTAAAGCTAAATTAACTGAATGACGAATACAAAAGAAATTAAAAACATAAGTTCAACTCAAAAACATAACCAAATCATAAGCTAGAAGGGTACGAAATGATACACAATTATGCACTGATCAGATGGCAAGCTATAGATGTTCCAAATGACAAATTGTAGTGTTTCGTCTGCAGATTAAAATTTCTGCAATGATCTCTTCGATTATCAGGACTCCAACCACCTACAATTAGTAGCCTTGGTGGGATTATATCCAGCTTCAAAATGCCTGAATAGATTTTTGAAGAACCTCTTGAAGAAAATTCATACATACTAGGTGCATGATCTATATTCATAATTGTCTGCTGGAACTCCATTGTCGCCAAAGGTTCATTGGTTGATTTCATATAATTTAGCACCTTTAATGACTCTTTTGCTTTGATGATAATACAAGAACATGGAGTGTCTGTTAAATTAAATTTGTCTGCAACAAGTATAGCTCCTTTAATTGTTGAAGAGGTGATAGTAGATATTTGATCATGAGTTTATCCTAATTCACTTAAGATGATTCAATTAGATTTTCCATATAATAATTGAGACGAATTACATGCTGATAGGGTTTCTTCATATATTAGAAGTAAGTTTTTTATCCGAACGGATCTTGAAAATGTAGACCATCCAATGATTCTGAAACCATTTCCTAGAGTAAAACCAACGATCACCAACAGTTATAACCCACGGAAATCCAATTATTTCCTGCTGCACATACAACAACTATGTCTTTTTCCATAGCAGAAAATGATGATCTTGCAACAGCATAAGAATACATCGGTTTCTGAAAGTCAACAACAGAGAGGCAAATCACATCAACACCATCTATTATGGCTTGTTCCATTGCAGCCATTAAATCTATATTAGTAATGGTGTCAACCCAAATTACCTTGTAAATAGCAATCTTTGCATGTGGTGCAACACCTTTCGTTGTTCCTTTAGCATAACCAAAATACGACACTCCCATCTACAAATTTCCCCGCAACAATGGTGGAAACAAATGTCCCATGGCCCTTTGTGTCTCTAGAAGAATTCATTTTTATTTCAAAGCTGGTATTGTGGTTTAGTACCTGGCTCCTATAAGCTTTAAGTTACACATTGAGGACTTAAATTCTTCCCCTTCCTCACATGAACCCTTCTATTTACTCATATTTGTAATGAGAGATGTTCCATAGCCCGGTAGGTGAACTTAAGGAGAGAAATTCAGGTGTATAGGTGCTTAACGATGTTGTAATTTGACCACAATCTGCTGATACAAATCCTTGGTACTTCTTTATAGTATCTAGTTCTTCTAGTGATAGAACAACACTAAAACCATGTAAAACAGTCTCGTATGTGTATAAAAGTGACGGTGAAGATCGATACTAGTCATCAAACGATGTGAAATTTGTAAATTTAAGGGAATCAATAATGGCAAGATAGCAACAAACATATGAAAAATAAATAGTAAGGAAGCAATTTTTTTGGTTCTAGAATGATTGAACTACAATTTTGGTCTTCATGTTTTAACCTTTTTTTTAGTACAAGGTATAGTTTAAACTAAAGGGGAGGGGGATTTCTCTTACACACACAGCTAAGGTGTCATGGGGGTTCGAACCTGAGACCTCTTGTTTGCAAGTCAAGACTCTTTTCCACTGGGTTAGACCCGTTCCGTTACCTTATGTTTTAACATGAAACATATAATTGGTTCATGAGATTTAGATTTATCAATTTGGTCCCTACATTTTAAGTCATTCACAACTCTAGGACAATTATGAAACTCCATCAGTACTTTAATATACATCAAGTGATTGTTTTTCTAGTACTTGATATGCATAAAGCGCCTCTCTATATTTATTTCGTACCATAAAATGTATGACAAATTGGTTATAATCATAGAAAGAATTCCAATATCACCAACAGTTGAAGAATCGAGGATCTAATACAAATCTTGTTAGCTTTACTCAATAAAAATACGGAAGGCACAGAGAGTTGCTACAATGTTATGGTCGCTAATTATAATGTTAACTGTAATATTATTAGTACTTTCTTGTTGTCAATTGACAAGTCTCTTCAAATATATAAGAGGTTAAAAAGGGCAAGAAACTTGACATTCTTTGTACAATTTTGAACTAGAGTTGGAACACATCACAACTAATGTAAATAAAATTTTGATATCAAAGATAGAAATGTATACATAATTCAACATACATGTGTAATATAATGAAAACTAAAACTAAAAACGACTCGAGTTACAAGCCCCTTACTATATATAATAATATTAAAATAGCTAAACCTAAAATAGCTGTACTTACAAGCCTCTTACTCTTATCTCTGCTAGCCGCACTCAGCTCCTATGCAAAAACATGGTTCCAGTCCAGCTCACATTCCTTTACAGAAATAGACTTTCAAGCGAAGCAGATAATCTGATAACACCATGCTTTAGTTTCTTTGAATAAAAATAATCATTATGGTAAAACCAGTGTTTCCATACTACAAATATTATGCATATATGACCCAATCAATCAGTTCACGAACAAATATAAAACCCACTACAATTTAGTAGTATGATTTAAATTGGCAATCGACTCTAATCAAAGGAACCCAAGAAAAAAGAAACTTAGGGAAATCATTATCATCTACATGCTAAAGAATTTTCAATTTTCCATGGGCCACTGAAGTCTTTGCATGCTCCAAACGACACAACGCTTTTTGAGTTCCACTCAACCCAGAACATGTTGGACTGGCTCCTAAAGTGACAGCGAAGTAAAGATAAACAGTGCAGAGGAAAGTCAGGAGTGCTAGGGCCGTTAAGAGGAAGCGGTGCCGCTGAAATAGAGTCGACCAGCTACCCAACTCATTTTGTGAGAACTGCTTTCTGAATGAGGCTGACTTCCGAACAGGAGAAGACAAAATGCTGTCAAGAACCATGGTATAATATGTACTGGCCTTGCTCAGACTACCTGAAGTTTGCACAAACTTGTGGTCATGATGACAGGTAAGAAAGCCAAATTTTCATCATTAGGAGAAAGTGTTCACAGATTCATTGATATTACAAGCAAGGTTACACAGATTGAGGACACAGTTAAACGCAGAGATAAAGGGGGTACAGTTAAGGAAAACATGACCATACTAGCACGACTATCTTCAGTTATAATCAACAGTCACATTCATACTTGAAGAAGGATGTAGCAAAAAAAGTCAATAAAGTGAAATTATCAAACCATTCTTTGGATGAGAGAAACGCCAACAAGAAACAAGTTTTAACAAATGCTGAAAACAAATTACTGAATTTTATGCCACGAAGACCAACTAAACAAAGGGATTAACCTACTAAATCATAAATCAAAAGGTATAGTACCATTGACAGACCAACATTATTTATGTACAATCAAGGATGTCAATTGGGTGGACTAGCTGAGGCTCAGCCCAGCAAAAATGAGCCTAGCCCAAAGGGTTCGAACTCAGCCCATCAGGCTTCAGGCTGAGTTCAAGCACTAAAGGAGTGATATTTATGCTGCAGGGCGTTCAAATGCAATCAATATAGCTGAAAGGTTAGGACTACCTGGTAAAGTGGTAGATAATGCCCGCGAACTATATGGTGCAGCTAGTGCAGGGATAGATGAGGTAACATGCATAGATTTTATTACTGTTATATTAATATATATATATATATATATATATATATATATATGAACATAAATTCTATAAAAAGAGTATAAACAAAAATAACAAGCAATACGTACTGATTGGAAATGCTTATGGGAGGGCTAAAACACTCTTGAAAAGTGCTTCTGGGTTCTCATAGCACTTTGTAGTGCTTTCTGGAGAAGCACCTGCCAGAAAGCATTGAAAAAGACTTACAATACAAAGAATGCTTTAAGTCCCCAGATATACATCATGAAGAACATCTGACCTCAATTTAAAACTGAAATATAAATAATTCTGCCTTGAAGCAAGTTTATAATGCGATACATTTTTCTGAAGACAATAATATAATGAAGGACCTGTAGCATTAACAAATACTTTCCAATAGAATTTGTGTGAGTTTGTTCTTGGAAATTTTCCCTCGAATTAGTCCAAATTTTCCATAAAATAGCCTATTGGCTAGTAGCGAACTGAAACACAATGAAAGATCGTATTGGCTCAACAAAATGATGATTTTATGCCTTGACAAAAAGTGGTTCTCCTTGAAAACAGCAACTGCAAAATGAGAACCATACTTCTGGAAAATGTACTAGAAAGCAAGCTACAGTTCTCATGCACAACATCTTGCAATGTGTAAAGCAACAAAAATTTTGCAAAAGCATACTGACTAGCACATGCACTAAAGGCGAACTTTCAAGGAAAATTACAAGTAGCAAATGACATCAATTTTACAATGAAACTTGCTTTTCTCCAACTTTACTGAAATCCTCCAAGAACCCACGGAATACATTCATAATAGCTTTTAATATGTTCTTCTTGACTAAGAATAATGCAAGAGATCAGGAAGGGCAATGCCAATTTGATTATGTACACCAGAAATGTGAACAATACAGCACACATACATCTACCAAAATAAGAAATTAAGACCTGACAAGGTCCAATGCAAGAAGATAAAAGCACCCATGCACAAGAATGACTACTCTCCTAGCATGTCCATAAAAGTTCAAAACTTTACGGATGGATGGAAGCTTGGCATCTTAATATTTGCAAGAGCAAAACGTTTGGCTCAGCATGAAAATAGAATTAGAACTAAAACCCAAACCAAACCCTACCAAAAATAAGAACCAAGTTCTGGAAAGAATATTAACTTGAAATAATGGCTAGTTACATGAGTATGAGATTCTACTTTTCAAAGGCACCTTAACTATAATAAACTTCTGAAAAATGAAGATGCAACACTGTGTGCAGTAAAATCAGATGGAATTGCAGGAAGAAGCAAAAAAAAAAATTGTCTGCCCCATTGCATAACCAAAATTGAAGCGATTTTTAAAAGCATATGTAGTCTTACCATGAGAATCAAATACTCTTTTGAAATTTTCTCCAAGTATAGTTGAAATTTCTTAAGGTTTGTTTGCAACATAAAACTGAGTTCAATTCATTATAATTGTCAAAGCAGCTCCTTAGTCTATTTAGTTACCACAAAATCAAGCCTATTTGTCTCCTTCTAAGTGAATGCTAACCCAACTACCAAGTAAGCCTGCTTTCAAGCAAGACTTTAAAAATGATTACCTACTGTTTAGCTTATTGAGTAAACAAGATAAGCTAACGTCTCTTTGTTGCACAGTGGCTGGCTGTACTGTAGTTTTTCTTTTTCTTTTTTTAATTAAAGAACTTATGTTTCAAATCAGAAAATAAATATTATTATTATAATACCAATCCAATGTTGATAAGTTAAACTCAATAAAAAAGCCCAGTAACCCCACTTCAAATCCCCAAGTATACCCAGTAAGAATATATCTGATAAACAATAATTACTACACACAAATGAACATGCGCTGTCAACTCAAACAGGACCAGGAAGGTATCAACCACTGATGATGTATATGACACAAGAAAAAAGTTGTCAATCATATATATTTTAAAGGCCATTTAAAAAAAAATTTATATATATGTGTATATATTTTGAAGGATTTCAGACGAAATCAAATCCACAAATCACCAGCCCTTCATCACTACACAACCTGCTTATCATTCTTAATTTACTAGTTTTTAGTTCCATCATGATTAACATTATAACTATATCAATAATATACATTATAAGGAAAACAATATCATGAAAAAAGGAAAATTCATCCCATTATAAAATTAGAACTCAAATCCGTGAAAAATATACTGTGCCTAGACAAAAAGTTAAAAATAAACAAAATATATTCATAGCAGCACCATGCACTAAAGCTCATTGTTGCCATCAAACTACACACATCACACATTTCTTGACATCAATTCAGAAAAAATTAGCCAATTTACTGTGTTCTGTGAGATCCCAGCAGATCGTACCGCAAAATATAGAAGGTACAGCATTATCAGTGCTCTGAAGGCGTTAGAAAAAGAATTTAAAAGCTATAATCATGGGGGCATTTATCATTTCTTTTTCTTTTTTCAGTTTTTCAGTAGATTATCAATAATTCAGCTATCCTTCTCAAATGGGTTCAATCCAAATCAAGAGTTGACCTTCTACCTAAGCTTTTCTCATAGAACCTAATCCAGATCTCCTTTCCCTTTCACGTTTCCTGATGATACAATTCTAATATCTCACATGAAAAACCCCATTTCACATTTATAACCCAAAACAATCCAAATCATGTCATTCTCGTAAAACCCATATCCATAAAACAACAAATACAAAGAAACAAGAAGGAAAAAAATTGAAAAACAAAACACAACCCATATAAAAGCAGTAGCTCAGATCTGAAGGGAAATGAAAAAGGAAAAGATGTGGGAAACTTACAGATGAGGCAAAATTCGATTGGATCAAAAGGAGCTTGATGGGTATTCTACGTTTGGTCTTCTTTTTTTTTTTTTTCTTTTCTTTTCGTTTCTTCTCGTTTCTTTTGGGGTCTGTGTCTCCTTCTTCTTCTCCTTCTTTATATGATGTTTCGGTTTGAAGTTTGGAGAAGAGATGAGGAGGAAGTGGCCGTCCGGTCCACGGTGTTTTGACCACAAATAGAATAAATTTGCTGATTGCGTGCGCAGGTGTCACTCGTTTTGTGTCTTTTCTACGCGCTCAAGGGCCGTTAATTATCATAGAGGGCGTTAGGCGTTAGTCAGTACCTTAAACGGTGCGTTTTGGTTTGTTACCTATGAGGTGTAGTCCAATAAAATTGGCAAAATTTTAAAATTGAAATCGCATGAATATACATACAATTTGAGTTAGAGGTACGTTTTGTTTTTTCATCATTGAGAAATTTTATTAGATAAACTTCAACGGTACAATCAAAGAAAAGCTCATAAATTCAACATAATCGAAATCCTAAACAAACCTTACCACCGCTACTTGAAGAAGAGCTGTCGCGGCCACACCCACCACTGCATCCATAACAGATATTGAGAAAATATGATTTTCAACGATCTATTTGCACATAAGAGTGAACAAATAAACGAAAACAACAACCCTACCAAAGAACAATTTGGTTATTTGCAGCAACCTCCGTAAAAAATAACGTATAATTAAATTTAGAGAACATGAGCGGTATTAGAGAGCAGGTTTTGGGAAAAAGATTTGATTGAGAATATAGACTAAAACGGGTGATGGGGAACTTCAATCTAAACATGGCTCAAAAGAAATCATCACAATGGACTTTTTATCTTTTTATTCAAAACGCCATAGTGGACTTATTTATGTAGAACAGATGGCGGAAGCAATTGAAGAGGAGTTGCAGCAATGCGAGCAAAGGCAAATCGAGTAAGCTGCAAATTTGGGCTCTGAGCTCATAATCTGGCCCATGACATGTCAATTCAAAGAGAATGGCGTTATGAGTAAAACTCATCTCTTCACTATGACATATGGGCTTTTTGGGCATCCGAGATCATTTACTAGCACGAAATTTAGTTTTAAAGTTTTTACAGTTTTTGGAAACTTTGTTATTTTCCTATTTTAATTCCTTTGTTATTCCTAGGGTTTCTAGGTGTATTTAAACATACCTTACCTGTGGTTAGAGTTATGTTTTGTTATTCCGATTTATCAAATAAACCTAAGGTTCTCTCATATTTCCTGGTGGATTCCAGAGTTATATGTTTTAAACTAAGGTTTTAGCCAAGCAATTGTCATGCTACATCAGTTCGCATCAGAATAAGTATGACCGGCCCGGTGAACAACCAGGATGGAGGTGATAGGACACGTGGCACAGGGGAAGTTGTTACTCGTGCTGAGTTTGAGACCAACCAAAACCCTCCACTGCGACCTAATGGAGGTGCCCACGTACAACGTCCTATTGTTGGGAGTGACAACGAGTCTTAAGAAGAACTACAGGAATAGCCCCCGATCGCACCTAATCAGAATAATCGTAACCAATACATGGACGATTTTCAGATTAAGGCTGATATCCCATACTTTAATGGCCACCTACAAGTTGAAAACTTTCTTGACTGGTTGATACAGATGCTACACATAAAGGATGTACAGATGCTACACAAGTTGAAGACTTTCATAAGATATGAATAAGAAAGTGGCAAAAAATAAAAAATTTACATCTCCTCTTGGCCGGGAATTTTAACACATTAGCAAAATTCGATGACATCTCCTCTTAAAACTGAATTTAAGGTAAAAGTTAGCAATTTCCTCCCCAAGAGAACGCTGCCACTTGAAACAAGACAATCTTCCATCTGTATAAAATGGATCAAAAATGCATATTAAAAGCAAATCATTCAATCACAATGGAAACAAAAACATAACATTCAATCACAACTGAAACCAATTTCAAAACATAAATCAATTCCAAAATTCATAACAAAAATCAATACCAAAATAGTTTCAGAAACCAATACCAAAACAAGTTCAGACATATTTACAGGCACTACAAGTATCATACACATACATTTATAGGCACTACAACAAATAGAGTGCATAAATGTAAAACTGCAGTATGATATACATTTTTTAATAGAAGAAAAAAAAAATTATGATATACATCATTTAAGAGATGAGCTTGAAGTTTGCTGAGTTATATATACCTCTAAGAAATCTATCTGTGGTTTCTCCAGTGAAGGACTACCTTCAAGAATCCTATCTTCATACAGATTGTTGGCTTTTCTAAATGACCCAATTCTTCATATAGCAAACTTTCACAAGATAGTACCATTGCAAAATTAAAGTTCACTTTCATGCACACAATTTCGTACTACTCAATTGCAATATAAAAGTTATTATAAACATGGATGAAGTGAATGTGTGTCTTGGTAGGCAAATAAAAATACAAATAAGGATATCATCAATAGTGCATTTGGCATTGTTCAAACAGTTAAAGAAGCACAGTCTCAGAGAAGAAGAAGAGCAAGACAATGGAACTGGATAAATGCAAGAGGTGTCAACAAACCTTCAAGTTTTCCAAGAACTCTTTTCACGACACCAACACAACCTTGGCATATACCAACCTTGAGGACTGTAGAAAATTTACAAACTCCACAATCACTTTTAGAGATATCCTCCACCTCAAGACATAATCCATTTATGTAGTTCATTCAAAAATCACATCCCAGAATAGAACAAAAAAAATTCAGATCATTGAACCAAATAACTGTGCTTCTTCAATTGTTTTTGTCATAATAAAAACCTAACTCAGTAATCAAATTCAATAAGCAAAAGAAAATCTTCAAAATCATTGTAGACTGGACAAGCTTCAAGCATAATATTCCTTAAGACAAATTGAGAAATATTTGTTGCACAATCCCAAAATTTTGGTTCAAAAAGTTATTGTATAATCCCACTGAAATAACATTCTCTACACAAGCTGAAAATATTAATTGTAAACATAGAGTAAAATTTTAAATTAAACCCACAATTATGTTTCAACAAATTTCTATACAATCTCACCCAAATTTGACTTGCAGGGACTTGAACTCACATCAAGCACCAAAAATCTAAACCCATATATGAAATTGAAAGAAGGAGAAGAAAACCCATATATGTAGGAGAAAAGCTGAGCTGGCTACCTGAGACGCCATCTCTAAGCATGGAGGTCGAAAGAGGTGACAAAGAATGAGAATGGAGGTGGAAAGGGTGAGGTCGTCATCGCTGATGTGGGTTAGGGTTTCTGAGGAGGTGACAGTGACCATCGCCGAAGTGGGTGCGAGCGAGAGAGAGAGAGAAGAGAGGAGAGGAGGGCTGAGTGAGTGAGATAGAGAAATTGTGAAAGAGGATTTGAGAGAGCTTAGAACGACTAAACAAAAGTGAAAGATGAGCAATAGGCTATCAATATGGAATTTTTATAAGGAGCATTTGTAATTGGGTTTCAAAATAAGGATATTAGGCTGTGTTTGGCAGGCCTTGCTGTACTGGACTAGCTTAAATAGTACTTGAAACCCATGTTTGGTAGGGTAAGGGACTAACTTAAATGAGAAAAGGGGATGTGGAGGTGGGTTCCGATGGGAATGAGAGAGAGAATCAGGGAGGTTTATGATTAAAGGAAAAAAAAAAATAGAGAGAAAAAAGGGTTGTGGAAGTGAGTTGCGATGGGAGAGAGAGAATGAGGGAGGTTTTTGAATAAAGATAACAAATAGAGAGAAAAAAGAAAAGAAAAAAAGAATGGGGAGGTTGGGTTGCGATGGGGGAGAGAGAGAGAGAGAGAATGAGGGAGGTTTCTTGTTAAAGAAAAAAAAAGATAAAAAGAATGGGGAGGTTGGGTTTCTGATTAAAGAAAAAGAAAATAAAGAGAAAAAAAAAAGATAAAAAGAATGAGGAGGTTGGGTTGGGTCTGAATCTGATGATTTTTTTATTTAACATAATTTTAGCCTTTAAAAAAATATCAGAATTTTAGATGTTTTCTTTTTATTATTATTTTAAATCTAATTATTACAATAATTATTTTTTAGTTCAACACATCACCAAACATAGGTCTTCACTATTTTTACAATCCAACTTTTTAGTCTGACGCAGCACCAAACGTAGGTCAGGACTTAATCCAGCTTAGGCCAATCCGAGCCAATACTAGACAGTCCCAGGATTTAGTCCAGTCCATGCTAATCCACCGTACCAAACGAGCTTTTAGTGAATAAATTAGGTGAGCCAGGGTAAAGCCGCAAATTTCCCTTTTGTGGAAATATCTAAGAATAAAACCCGACCCGACCAACGTGGCGACTCAGTTGGACTTGAGACAAGGTCAAATAAAACAGTGGAAAATTCGAATCCGAACCTAAAAGCAAAAGTCTTTGTAGCTTTCATTAATCAATCTTCGCTCTCTTGCTCGTTGCTCTCCAATTTCCAGAAGGTAGTCGATCTTAATTCTTTACTATTAGAATTGTATGATCAAATTTCAGGAACAATTAATATGTATTTCATCAATTACATCATGGGTTTTGTATAAGTTTCTTTCAATCTGATCGAATTTCTCATTTTGTTTATGTTGTTTCTAGGGTTCTAGTTTTTTTGCAATACAGGTTTATAATTTCTTTGTTGAATTATTGAATTGAGCTGCAATCTCAAATAGGGCTTTGAATAAAGCTCAAGGCCTGGAACTTACATAAAATTTTCGTATTTAGTTGAAAATTCCATCAAGGTTTTGTATTTCATATGATAAAGTCTTGATTTTTTTATTTTTTAGGATTAATTTGCTTATTAAAGAGTGATCGGTGGGTGAGGCGTGAAAGAAGAAGATGTGGGCAGCTTCGTGCCTGGCGTCGTGCTGCGCTGCTTGCGCATGCGATGCGTGCCGGACGGTGGTGTCGAGTATCAGCCGCCGGTCTGCAAGGATTGCATACTGTGGGCTCTTTGCGCTTTCTCTGATCGTCTCATGGATTCTCCGTGAGGTCGCAGCTCCCCTCTTGGAAAAGATTCCTTGTAAGCCACCTCTTCCATCATTCCAAATATTAGGCTGTGGTGTTATGATATACTTGCTGTACTCTGTACAGATGTTTTGAATGTTTGGTAATGCTTTATAAGAAACTCATAATAACATTATGTCTTTAAATGGATGAAATTTTTTTGATTTCCCATGGAAGTTTGACTACAACTAGAGGATTGTTTGGTTCTTGGGTTTAGTGGTATGTGGTCTTGCATATGACACTGATCTCAGATTGGTTATTGATGCAGGGATTACTCAGTTTAATCAGACACATAACAGGGAGTGGTTTGAAACAGATGCAGTGCTTCGTGTTAGTTTGGGAAATTTTCTCTTCTTCACCACTTTAGCTGTTATGATGGTTGGCGTGAAAAGCCAGAAGGATCCCCGTGATAGTTTGCACCATGGTGGATGGATGATGAAAATTATATCCTGGTGCCTTCTAGTGATCTTCATGTTTTTCATACCAAATGAGATTGTTAGCTTCTATGGTAAGCACTATATTTAAGAAAAAAATCAGATGCTAAACTTCAGTACATTTGTTGACCTTTCTTGACCTAGTTACTGCTAATCTCTGCCCGCAGAGACCAATCATCTTATTATTTCTTAAATTTTGAACAGACAAGAAATGTCATGATTGCGCTTTCTTTTCAAAGTAAATATATTTAGTATATCTCATGTTGTCACATCTGAACAGTATTGCATACATGCAACATGATTTTTTCTTTACATCAATGATAAACTCTTAATGATTTAGCACTTATTGCATTTGAAAATTCTTATTGCAATCAAAACAGTATATCATACTGTTGTGAGTTCAGTTTATTTAGTTATCATAATAGAATACCTTGTCTGTGACAACTAGTATGTCCTTGTCATCTGCTTATTTCTATTTCTTTCTGTGATCGCTTCGTGTACTTCAGCGGAATGATAATAGTGGTGATTTTCTGTTTTAGTGTAATCTTAGATTATTCACTCATCTTTTTATGTTTTCTATACTATTTTTGGACTCCTGAAAAATTTTCTATTGCTAAATCAAAATAGGCTTTACAAATTGGAGAACTTACTTATGGGCTTGCATATGTTGAACCTAGAGAATAGTAGCTAGGTTAGCACTCCAACATTGTTCTACATCCATCTGTGAATTATGATTCATTTTTGGGTATATATATATATATAGCTCTTAATTTTTTTTTAGTGAATTAAAATGTACCTAGGTTTGAGCATAGTCAAGCAGCTAAGGCATCAGTGTCTGGGCTATATTAGAGTATCCTGATGCTATAAAAGGTTTGTGGCCATGATTTGTCATGCAAGGAAACTGAGAAGTTTGGATTACTATTTAAGTCTCTTATGTTAATTTCTGAATTTAGTTTCATCTGTTAATTACATTTTTGGAAACTCTTTTCATTTGTGTGACTAAATTTGACAGTTAAATATCGTGTTTGCAGAGACAATTTCAAAGTTTGGCTCAGGATTTTTTCTCCTTGTACAAGTTGTACTTTTGTTGGATTTTGTTCATGGGTGGAATGACAAATGGGTTGGATATGATGAGCAGTTCTGGTTAGTTTATTATTTCCTCAAGTATCTACTATTTATTTTCACATTTCTACATTCTTATATTGATTTTAACTTGAATCTTCATCGTTTATATAGGTACATTGCTCTTTTTGTTGTTTCTCTTGTTTGTTATCTGGCAACATTTGTCTTCTCTGGACTTCTTTTCCATTGGTTTACACCATCTGGACATGACTGTGGGCTCAACACCTTCTTTATTGTCATGACTCTGATCTGTGTGTTCCTTTTTCTCATAGTCGCTCTGCATCCTGCTGTAAGTTTGTAAATTTCATGTTTCTTTCTTTATAGCAATTATAATCAGTTACCAAAAAAGGAAAAGAAAACAATAACACCATAATTGTATCTCATGTTTGCAAAGATACAACGAGAAGAAATAAAAAATGAAGAGGGATAATACAAGTTGTATAAGGCTGATATTGGTGATTATAATCCAAGAGATTGTTGGCTTATCTTTTACTGCTTCTATGAGGGCAGAGAGACTAGCTATAGATTCAGTGATAGACCTGTGTTGCAGAACACACAGAGGAAAAAAATATAGCCCTTGTTTTATTTCTTTTCTTTTTGGGCAACGACAAAGAAAGAGGCAAACAAGGAAGAGAGGGAGGAATCAGGAGGAAACCATGTTCTATTTCCATGGGACATTGCAAAGTCTGACTAGTTAAAACTGAAAATGATATATTAAATTGGGATTACATCGATTCATGCTTTGTATAGATGAGTTAACTATCTTCTTGGGCTAACCCAGAAGTATATCGCTCTCCAGATTATGGTCATCTGTTATAAGGCAATGCAGGTGATGAGTGAGGTTTTCATAAACTTGGTTCAGTTTACTATTTATCTCTTTATTCTGTTGAGAGCAGCATATGTATTCAATACTAATGGCATGTTTACTAATCCGTAATTAGATTAGGAGGAATTTAATTGAGGATGAATTTAATTGAGGAGGAGTTGGATTGAGGAGAATTAGATTCCAGATTCCTGTTGAAGTTGTTTACTAAATCATTGGAATTGGGGTAGGAGTGGTACTAATTACTAAAATGTACTCGTTGTTAGGTTAAAGTAGATGACAAATTTTAAAAATTTAAAATTGTGTGAGTATATAATGGGTAAAAAAGATGAATTCCTAATAGTTTAGTTCTCCAGGAATTAGAATACCACTTCCCACCCAAGAATTGAATTCCTCCAAAATCAGGAATTCAATTCCTAATTTTGTTTGGGCCCCACCTATTTTCAATTCCTTGATGTGAAGTAAATGCAGGAATCTTCATAGGGGGAATTCAATTCCTGATGAGAATTCCAATTAGTAAACACACCATAAATCTAGATTCTAGAACCGTACTTCCACTTAGCTTAAAAGAGTATATGTTGCTTAGCTTCTTGGTTGCACATATTTTGTATTGGTATAGTTCTTATTACACTTATACTCTGATGTTTTACATGTGTAGCCATGGTATGTTGATGTATGCAGGTTCATTCGTAATAATTCAGTATTATCATTTCTTAGTTATCATTTTTATGTTATACAGGTAAATGGCAGCATTTTGCCAGCGTCAGTTATATCTATGTATTGCACATACCTTTGCTACAGTGCACTTGCCAGTGAACCGAGGGAATATGAGTGCAATGGTCTTCACAAACATTCCAAAGCTGTTTCCACTGGGACCCTTACCCTTGGTTTGCTAACCACTGTTCTTTCTGTGGTTTATTCTGCTGTTCGTGCTGGATCTTCTACGACTCTCCTCTCCCCACCAAGTTCTCCTCGTGCAGGTAATTCTTGGCAGAACCTTTAAAACTCTTGTTTCAAGATATGCAATTTGTCTATACTAACCGAGAAAATTGTGCTTAGAACTGTCTTACAATTATTTTGTTTTTGTTTCTTGAACAATTGTATTTGATGTTTGGTTACATGAGAAAATTTTGAAGGCAAAAATATTAACATTGATAGGCTATCTAGTTTTGCTATACTACTAATATTCCTTTTTCTGTAAATTTATTGCCTGGTGAAGGTGCTGGAAAGCCTCTGCTTCCATTGGACAAGGCAGACGAACATGAAGAAAAAGAGAAGGCAAAGCCAGTATCATATTCATATTCGTTTTTCCACATCATCTTCTCTCTTGCTAGTATGTACTCGGCAATGCTTCTGACAGGGTGGACAACCTCAGTTGGGGAGAGCGGGAAGTTGGTTGACGTTGGGTGGCCATCTGTGTGGGTGAGGATTGTGACTAGTTGGGCAACTGCAGGTCTGTTCATCTGGTCTCTTTTGGCTCCTATTCTGTTCCCCGAAAGGGAATTCTGAACCCTGCCACCACCAAAATAGAGATAAAGGGTTTGCTCATCAGTGTCTCAAGTATATTTATTGTGTGTATGCATCTTCTATTGTACTTAAAATACTATCCGCTTTGTAAATAGAATGGTATGTGTTGACTTTTGGAATAACCAATTGTGCTTGGTAAACTACATGTTAATGAGCAAAACAGTATTATCAGTGATATCCCCAAAAGTTTCTTTATTAGATTTGATCTGTTTTCAATACTTGGCTTACCACTTGAGCTAGCCCTTGAGATTCTTACATGCACCATCTAGGTATGGATAAGGAAATGTCAAGCCTGGTTTTGGTTCTAGCCTCTGTTCCATTTCTTTTTACGCGGCCTTGTTCTCTCTCATCAGCAATTCTAACTATATGATTTGAAGATTGTGAAAACAAGCAAAGCCTTGGAGATTTCGATGCAAATAAAAGGATTTCTCCACTCCAATTCTCATGGTTTCTACGTTTGCAATTCCTAGGGAATTAGAACATATTTATCTTTGGTGAAGAGTGACCAACACCATTTTAGACAGGTTTCTAATTCTTTTTCCTTAAAAAGGATCAAGCAATTCAAAATGTCGCAACCGTCATTTAGATTTGGCGTTACCGATTTGGTTGATTCATGGAGGTTAAATTGATATAATGTTTAATTTTGGACCTGTTTGAAAACCATTTTAGTTTTCATTTTTTTGGTTTTTAGTTTTGATTTGTATAAAACTTAGTTTTGATTTGTATAAAACTGAAAACAGGAAAGTTTTTATTTTATTTTTATAAAGGCCAATTTGGGGAAGAGGGGAAACCGAGCCTTGGGACCTTGAAAATAATAAACTTGTTTAGTAACTCTTTTTCACTTTTCAAATAAAAGAAAATTTAAAAGTTGTTTAAAAGTTATTTGGTAACAATTTTCAATCTTACCCGAAACTTGGAAATTAAATTTTTATCGGGTCAAATTCTAAATTTGAGGTCATAGAATGAAAGTGCATGTTGTAACATTTTTCAGAGTTACGATGAATTCTGGTTATGGAAGTCCCAAGGCTCAGATTGGGCATGCAGGTGAAAACAAGAGTCAGACTATCGGTTCCAAGTCAAGAGGTCCCAAATACCGAATTTTAAGACCAGATTGAAATGTATGTGCGATAATGTAAAATTGGGCAGTGAGAAAGGAGGGTTAAAAAATACTGAAGGCCGTTTATTATTTTAAAAAAATAAGAATGATTTTGAAAATTAACTTTTTTTTGAAAATAAAAAATGAAAACTGTTATATAACATGTTTATAGTTTTCACCGAAGTGGTTATCAAACAAACCCTTAGTGAAATAATTAAAAAAATTTACGTCCCTAAAGTATACTTAAATTGAAATAAATTTCATACAGTATAGGAACAATACCAAAAATCGATGACAGAATAAGGATGCTAATTCTCTGATAATAATAAATAAATAAAGATGACAAGATGTAACATTTAAAAAACACAAGTTAAAATAGAGAACTATAATATTAAAAGAAAAATAAGTTAAATAAATTCTGTGTTTATTGAACCCCTATTGTTCTTGAGATGCAGACGAAAGATATTTTTTCGAAGGAAAAAGAAACTCAACCTTTCCTTTGTCAACATACTGTTCTCACAAGAAATAAACCTCAGCAAAAGATGTTCTATTTAAAAATTCAATCTGGCAAAAACAATTACTATTAATTAAATTCATTATCTGGGGACATAAGTTGCTCCAAACACTACACGCACTACCTGAGTAAAGATGCTGCAAGTGTCAAGGATGCGGATTCAAAAGAATAAAACTATGAATCCAATGGGGTAAGCATAACTGGGTGTCTAGGACAATCATTCAATCCTCAAAATCTCCAGCATTCTCCAATAAGTAGTTTGCTGCCAATTCTTCATTGCGATCGCATGCTAAAAATGCCTCGATGACCAAGGCCCTATCAAATCCCATTGCTTCGAGCTATAGAAAATACCAAACTAATCAGTGTGTGTAAAAAGATTACATGCAACAGTTCTCAGGAACAGAAAGAATACATACTCGTTCAATCTTGATAATAAAAAAAATACATACTCGTTCAATGGCCTCCTGCTCAGCCGGGGTTACGTTGATGGCATGAGGCATATCTTGGTCAGGGCCATCAGGCTGATCAAATATGTCACTGGAAGATGGAGTACTTTTATAAGAAAGGCAAGTCATGATTTAGACAATTTCTACGTATGAATTAATTGGGTCTTTTTTATGATACTCACCCTTCAGAACCCTCAAGAGGTTCATTTATTAACTGAAGGAACTCAGTGTGGTGTTCCTGAATTAATCTTAAAAGATGGGGATTTTGCTTTCCAAGCTCCTGCAGCATGGGCTGTAACAAAAGCAGCACAAAGCAACTGTGAGACATTTAAAAGAAAACATCACAATTTTTAATCTAAGACATAAAGCAAATGCAAACCTGTAAAATTTGTGGATTTGCTTGCACCATTGAGCGCAACGCTTGGAACTATAACGAAAACAGACATTAAGTAGAGCAAACCTTACATAGTCAACAAGTGAATAAAACATGCAAACTGAATCAAACATGATCTCCAACATTTAGTATTTCATTAGAAGCATGTAATAGAGCTTTTGTACTACTATATGACATAATTTAGCCAAACGTGGCTTGCTACAAAGAGAATGATATCTTCTTTTGGTTGCTTCTACAACATTATTTCTTCCCAGAAAATACAAGAATGAAATAAAAATGTAAAAATAAGTGATATGATAAAAATGTATTATAAACTCGTATACTATCTCCACTCAACACATGCGCCATCTACCCTGTTTCCAATACCAATATTATAAAAACGTCAACAAGTTCAATTGAGTTGATTTGCTGATTTATAGAATCCAATATACAGAATATACATCTTAGTTGGAAATATTATAACAGGAAGCTTACCTGGCGATTATTCCTGAGGAAGGCGAGGGATCCAGGTGCACCAGCACCAGCACCAGAGAGTGTTTCCTGGAGGACTCCAGCTTAGATACACAGCTAAGTAAATGTAAAGGAAACATATCCAACAATCCTACATTTTACCTGAGGAAACATATTCAAAGGAGCAGAGTTAGGTGCTCCAGAGACAGGTGCAGCATTGGCTGCCCCTGTTTCAGTTGCCTGGCTTGCCGGGAAATGTCCTACCGGCACTGCAACTTCTGCTGTTTCTGGAATACTCTGAAGAACACTATGTCAGCGGCTAAATAAAGATCAATATAACAGCAACAAGTTTAAGAAATCTAGACATACAGAGTACAAGTAGTCAACTGCTCTCTCTGGATTGTTATATGCCGCTCGAAGTGCACGTGTAACTGTTTCTCTGTCCCAGTTTCCACCGCCCATATCCATTATTTGTTGAATAGTCTGCTCAAGATTAGTACCAGCAAGTAAAGTTGAAGCAGCTTGACCATAGGTATCAGTATGCACACTGCAGTTGAAACAGGACTTAAATCATCATGGTCTATGCCAATGGAAGCAATAAACAATGCAAGGGGAACCCAACATTGTTTTTTTTTTTTTTAATTTTAAATAAACACTGTTCTTTTAAAATACATTAAAGAAAACAAATTAAAATGAGGACTATAAGAACAGTCTCCGGATTACCCTAAAAAAATTCAAATTCATACCACACAAGAATATATTATAAATATGCCTAAACTAAACCAATAGCATGCCAACATGGATAATACATTCACTACATCACTGGATATTCACATTGAGCAGCCCATCCTAGCTACATCTACATTAATTAATAATTATCTGATTGTATATATAGAATTTGTTTAAGCAAGTTAAAAGTTAACAAACAACCTGGTCAATAAACTTAACTAAGTTCAGGAGCTTGACTTCAAGGCTCAAGTCACATGTACCAAGATGGTTTTGGAAAACTTTGCATTGACAGTTAGCATCCAATTTCAACCTTAATATCTGATTACAGACCACCATTGCAAACTGCAATCTTCAAAATTAATTTTATAACACAGTGATTGTGCATGCTTTCTGTTTGATAAATAAATTAACTTAATTAAAAGGAGCCAGTGGGCACAAACCAGGTATACAAGAAGTATACAAGGCTAAAATCATAAAGAAACAATGAAGGCCATGAGAGGGAAAAGGAAAAGAACTCTAGTCATCCACGTGAAAGTGTCAAAAAAATTAGCCTTCAACTCGAACAGAGGATTCCAGCCTTCAAAAGATGCTTAGTAAAATTCATTTCAATCACTGTACTTGATTCCGCGGTAACAACTGCAACTTAATGCAACAACCTAAGGTAATTCAACTCTTAACCGTTGTACAAGTATCTTCAGCCCTTGCCATAGATTGTTAAATATAATATCAGGATAAAGAATCATACTTTGCAGTGTCGGAAGCAGATATGGTACTCTGTACGGGTCTGCGGCAGCACAAAAAGTAAAGGTTTGTTAAAGAGAACTAATTTAATCTAAACACAAGTTCAAAAGGCTCCTTGTCATGTAAACTCACGGTGGTTGTGCAGGAGCTTCAGGTCTGGTTGTAGAATTTGTGGTTGGTGGAGTTGCAGGAGGATTTGTGGAAGTAGGCTGCAACACAGAGATACAAGAATTAGCTTAAACATTAAAATACAACCAGGAAAAAAACCGCCCAGAAAACAATAAGAACGATTGATAATAATACCTGAGCGGATGAAGCCCCTGCTAAGCCTGAAGTTTTACTCTGAAAATTGGCAGAAAGAAAATGAGACAAAAATGGTAGGGACAAGGGCTTATGCAGATTGCAGACAAAGCAGACAATAAAACAAGTTTCTAAAGTCGTCTGCCAATCTTGGTTAAACTTTAGAATACAGATAACTTGTGGTAAAGCAAACATGTATCATTGAACATATACCATTAGCAAATTAAACTTCCAGAACTACCCAAATCAATTAGCAAAGTACAAGGAGATGAGAACATATACCATTGAACAGACATATGTCTTTAGATGGTATGTCTTTACAAAATAATTCATGCTCCAGAATGGATATTACATTTCTTAGATGATATATCTTTACAAAATATCATTTGTGCAAGCCAACGAATAAAAGAACAAATGAAAATCTGATTGCATGTCAACTAAACAATATATAGTGATTCAAAACAACTTAATCAGGAACACAGCTAATATATAGTATCACAATAAGAATATTAGTAT